GTTTCATTACAGTTCAGTAAACAACGCGGAATTGAAATCCATTCACAGCCTTGTTCGCTGCGGATGACGGGGCGTGTCACGGGAACGGGTATGGCGCGCCGCCAACCCGTCCCTTCTCTTTTCCCGTCATCTAGTCGCCTTCTTTCAATCGTTGTCGCTTACCTGCTTTAAAAACTGGTAGAGAACGGGCTGGCACTGGCGCCAAAGCCAGCCTCTCACTGGCATCCTCTATCAGACTGTAGTTCAGCCGCAATATTTCATGTCACTACCGATAAGAAAACAATGATTGTATTTCAAGTACTAATACCCTGATACTTGGATCATATCGGCTGCATCATGGTTGGTAGCGATGCAACGAATTTTTCCATGTGAACTTGTCCCTTTCGACTCTTGTCATTTACTGTCACTATCTGCCCACCCACAAACAGTCCCACTTCACAGCTCTTTTACCACCTCCGTCCCGCTGTTGCTGCGACACGCAACTACGAATTCGTTGTTGTCCTCTTTCATACACTTCTTATTAGAGCATGAGTTGCTGGAACAAAGTCCTCTATTTCTGCGGCACGCTCTGCGTGCTTGGTGATTCTCTCCTTATGAGGCCGCCCTCATCGGATTTCATCAGGTGTTACCCCCTTCTGCCATCTGCCAGTAGTGTTCCATCTTTCTATCCGTATCACTTCTCAGAACCAAAGTTGCAGCCCAGGGTCACGCAAACAGACAGACAATCAGACACCATGACAGGCTCGTGACAGTTAGACAGACAGACAGACAAACAGGCAAGCAAACAAACGAACAACCACACACTGCGAATCACGTAAAGTAGCATATTGACACTCTGCAGGTATACTTGAAATCCCTGAGATCTGAAAGGCGTGGCTGCGTACACCAACTAAACATGGCGGTGAGTGTGCTTTCAGAAAGATATTTCCATTTTGACTCAATTGTGGCGTGTATCTGTCGTACACAGAACAAGATGACAGTTGTCTCAGAGTGAAATATCCTACAAGTAACCCGTTCTGTGCCATGTTCAAATGCCACGCCTACTCCGTCTCAGGGATAAGGAGTGTAAATATAATAAGTATATAACGATAAAGGTCCCATAAATATTGCTTTACTGCGTCAAAAATGTGATTCACAATTAATTCACAAAATATGCCACAATAATAATTAATTCGATACAATTAATAAATTACTAATTGCTACACCATTCTAATCACAGCGTACGTTCTCCCTACTTCCACACTACTATCTCAGCTACAACACTGGTTAAGCCTACAGATACACTATTAGTAATCTGATCATATTACCTTTAAATTGCACATTAAAGTGAATGGCATTATTAGTAGATTTCAACACCGTCGGCGAGCACAGCTGACAAAGCAACTCACCGAGTCAAAAACCGAGTCAAGGAAGCATAAACATTGTAAGTACAGAACAATTTTGTGTTGGATTCCTTTTTTGTTCGCGAAGCAACCGTAAGCGATTGATATCCACCCAATCGATCACTCATGACTGCTCACATATCGATCATACGCATCTTGCGTGGGATCTTCCTGGACTATCGTTCCGTAATTCATATTGGCTGTAGCGTTTGTGGAGAATGCGTCGGTGATTTTACCATCTCGTGCAACAGGAACTCCTTGAGGAGCTAAAAAAGGGAATTATAATATGTTTTACTCACTGACTTTCAAGAAAGACACTGAACACGTAATAAGGTGAACAGTTCTTCCGCAGAATTGTTCTTTCCTTATTCAAGCCTCACTGCCATTGTTCTATAAAGAGGCGGGTAAGCATTTTCAGCTGGAGCAGTGTACGGTACGGCAGCTGTAGGAATACTGTAGAATACGATAGGATCACTTACTAGCATTTTTTGGGCCTGCCTGCGCCATGACCCACTTGGTGCTCTGACCTCTTGGTAGTTTCATTTCTTGAGACATGCTCGAGCAACGACGATGGAGAAATCCCTTAGCGTGAAGACGATACGCTCGATTTTAATGAAAATTCAACTCCCTCAAAGACAGCGCTCGCGATTCAGAACCATCAAATCATGTGGTAAGTAAAACGCTGATGAAAAAAAGCAAAAAGAAACCATCGAAAACGTTTGGAATCAGACTCCAGGTAGGGGATTGGAAAGGAAACAGTTGGCGAGTTCTGTGGATGTGGCCGCAGTCTTGCTCCGACTTCTCCAAGGCATCTTTGATAAGATTCTCTTTTTCCTTTTACCAATCGTTTTACGCATGACAAGGGCCGTCCCTGTAGGTGAGTACAAGTTGCCTGGGAAAGACAGGGGGAACGCGTCAATTGAGAAAGAGGAACGGCTTGCTCATTCAGCCCATACCATCGCCATGCACTGAGCTTCTCAGCGGTTAGGGCTCACATAGAGTTACATAGTTCTCAGGTCTTGAGTGTTTTCTTCTGCCTTTAGACGCAAATCTGCCTTCAAGATTGAATGCTACAGAGTACGAAACTGCTTTTTCATTACACATTCGGAAGGGATGAAGTTAAGGTAGCGATAACAAGAAAGTCACCTACCCATCACGTTCATTTCGTCATCCTCAAACATGCCGGCACCGTATTTGATTCCCTCGTACTTGAAGAGTTTATTCAATGCGTAGCCACCTCCACACATCACTGCGCATATCAATGCGTACAACATGAATGTGATCCGAGTACCTGAAATAATAAAGTCGATTTTCTCCATTTTCTCCATCATGATGCGAAATATCTGGCCCTATTCGTCGTGGGGAGGGGAGAACATGTGAAGGACTCCATGTGCAAAACTGGTCTTTCGTCAAGGAGATCTCTGCCTAAGCTTATGGTTAGAAAGAGTAGGAGCTCTTGAGTGAGAGAACCGAGTTCTTTGTGCAAAAAGGGGAGCTCGCGCCACAAAAGCCCTAGTCTTGCAAAGAGTCCTCAAAGGCAGTTGGCACGATGATTTGGTGCTCGGCCTAAAATGCTAGTAGGGCGCTATATAGTGGGGAAATGGCGAAAGAACGGAGTGAAACGGTCAAAATCCTGCGAAGAAAGAGCCTCCGTTCTCACTGTGTTAGTAATCAATTTTGGACGAGTTTCCCGTAGGCATCTTGCCAATAACCGCTACCGAAGGTACGGCTGCATATGTGTACTGCAAGTATATATCCGCTGTCGCGTACGATCACAATCCCTTCGCTTCATAATTTGCTTAGCAAATGAATCGAATACGAGCGTCAGGAACGGTCGTCCATTTGTGGGCGGGCGGGCGTTTGGGTCGGAATGTTGTGGCTTGATAGGGCCCTTATAAGGGCACCTCCCTAAAAGGCATTATGCAGCGCCTGCTCAGGGTCGCGGAATTCCGTCCTGCCAGGCGTATTAATCCTACTCGTCTTGGGGGATTTATCGTGCCAACTGCCTTTAAAGGCAAAGCGCAAAGGATTAATTTCGAAGCTTTGTAGTCTTTTCGTTAGCATGTACCTCACAGACACTATTTAGGTGGCCAAAAGGCGTCAGTGATCTCCTACCAATCACCTGTAAACTCAGAAGCGTTTTAGTGGGGTTCTCCTGCGGATATCCTCAGGAGAACACCATTCCATCCCTCGTAGAGGACTTCTCAACGATGACGTGCCCTGGTTTCACAGCGGAACTCTACTAATAATTGCGAGCTTTTGGTACATGTGCCAATCATTGACTCGTTCGCTAGACATGCTTACCAACAAAATATTAACAGAAGTTGTTATATTCTGGTAGTACGTCTTGTATTCTGGTAGTACCGATCTAGAATGCACTTATCCATGCCCCAGAACTGAGAAAATAGCAACCAACCTAACACGGAGATCACAATACCGCCAACGATGCTGCCGATTCCTTTTCCTACACCGTGATACAACAGTTGCAGGATGTACTGTGCTGACGACTTGATGTGTGGTGGAGCGATTAGCGAGATGTACGACGACGCCGACGCCCATACCGTTGCCAAGGCAAATCCTGAAACAGCCTCACAATTATTATCACACTAAAATCCTCTTTGAGGAGCTCATTGAAACAGTATTCAATTTTCCTCTCTATGGAGCATCTGCCTTGGTGCTACGATTGATGCTTTTCATGTATCGACAACATGGTTCTACTGCCTTCATAGTGTAGCTGAAGAGTGTGGATTCCATTGAATTGAGGGGAATGGAACAACGGTGGAACACGATCGATAAGTATACAACACTTTTATTAGGTTGTTCGAAAAGTCCTGCGACACTTTGATTGAATTGTTCTAGAAAAAGACCAAAAATCATTTTGGATGTTTTTATCCCTGA